TGGAGATAAAAAAGCTATTGACACAATGGGTCCCGCGTTTGCTGACCATAGATCAAAAACAGCAGCGTGTTGATGATTCAACGGCCGGTTTGGCGTTGTTACAGCGTAATCGAGCGGACTTTTTTCGACGTTTTGTGACGATGAATGAAACGTGGGTCCATTACCATACGCCTGAGTCCAATAGGCAGTCTGCAGAGTGGCTGAAAAGCCACGAAAGCCGACCAAAGCGGCCAAAAGACCAACGCTCGGCCGAGAAGGTTATGGCCTCCGTTTTTTGGGATGCGCATGGCATAATCTTCATCGATTACTTGCAGAAAGGAAGAACAGTTACGGGAGAGTATTATGCAGCGTTATTGGACAAACTGAACGACGAAATAAAGAAAAAACGACCCCATATGGCGAAGAAAAAAGTTCTGTACCATCACGATAACGCACCGTCACATACGTCCTTGAAAGTAATGGTCAAATTGGACCAATTACGATTCGAATTGGTTGCTCACCCACCGTATTCTCCAGACTTGGCCCCCAGCGACTATTACCTGTTTCCAAAGCTCAAGCGGTGGCTCCGGGGAAAGAGATTCACATCGAATGAGGAAGTCATCGCGGAAACCGAGGCGTATTTCGAAGGCTTGGACGTTTCGTACTACAGAAAGGGCATCGAAATGTTGGAAAATCGCTATATCAAGTGTATCGCCCTCGAAGGCAACTATGTTGAGGAATAAATATAACTTTGCCCAAAAAACACTTGTTTCATTAAAAATCCCGGGACTTTTCAGCCCATGTAGTATTACGGAAGCAGCAATAAAGACGGATAAACGCTCATTGTTCGGATAGAATCAATCCATAGAATTTTATATGTAAGAAATATGGCAAGAAAGGGCATTTCACAAGGGATTGCAGAGCAGAGGATACAAAACAAGTCGGAGTAATGTGCTATTAACATAAACGTGCTTCTGTGTACCAATATGAAAGACTGGACATACTCAGTCTCAATGTCCGTTATTGAAAAAGACGAAAACAATAGGAAAATCACAGCCGTCGACAGCAGGATCAACCATGTCCACGGTGACGATACCTCGGTGAGGTAGTAAAATCGACAGAGGTTGCCGAGACAGAGGAAGGCGAGATAGAATCCCATTGTTACGGTGTTAGAAGAAAAAACACTCGGTAAGTAGTACTCTAATTAAAATTATTAAACTTAATGCAATGCTTGCCGCACGATGAAAATTGACGAGATAGCCAATCAACGTCTCGCTTGCTAGGAAGTAATAGATATATTGGGTCATCTAAAAAGTATCCGCGGTACTTTGTCACTAGATATATGACCATCAACACACATCTAGTGACAAAAAACCGCGGATACTTTTTAGATGACCCAATATATTATAATTTCCACCGCATGACAAAAGTTGAACTCAATTCAACTTTTGCCGTGCAGCGAAAATAGTATTACATCATTTTTAGAAGTTTTGCATGGTGAGGCCGAACATAAGAATATAAAATTATTAGTTAGTGCGACAATTTCCGCCACGCGGCAATCGTTGCATTCTGTGTGCAAGTGCCATTCTCAATTAGTTTTACATCGCGTAATTTTAGTGCGATTAACAATTCACCGATACATACAGCTGGTATAATGCAAATCAAAATCTATTTGGATCAGTTATCGGATATCAACTTTGAAATTAATTTAAATATTTTAAAACACAGTTCATTTAATCAAGATATAATTATTTGCAGAGGTTTTCTAGCCAAAGAACTTTGATTTATAAACCTAGTCTGAAAAAAGCAATGATAAAACTTAGACAATAAGCACTGTTAATCTCGATTGTTACAGTCACACGCGTGTTCGAATATTACACGCCCGACTGTACACGTTTGTAGAGTATCACAAACACACACATATAAACATTCGTGACATGACACTTTCGTTCCTGACAACTGTTGTCCTGGGTCAGGTCGACACCGCCTGAGGGCTATCGTAGTCCTAAGTGCGAACAATGCTTGAGACCGTTGCCTTGAATTGGCTCTATAATTGTACTGATATTATATTGCGTATAACGTATAACGTATGCTGCGAAGAAGCCGAAGTTTACTGTGGCACGGTCAGAACTCGAATGCTAGAATGTGCCCCTTCTCGAAGATCGTACACATTCGTTACCACCATTTTCTTCTTCTTCTTCTTTTTGGTTAATAGCTCCCGTTTCCTGAAATAATAAACAGAGATTGATACGGCCAGATCACGTCCTAATGAGATGTACAAAAGCAAAAAAAAATGATACAAAAATGATACGATGCTTGCGAAAATAGCCCGCACGGACATCGGGCGTCTATGGCGTCGTCACGCCGCACGGACGCGCGTCAGAACGAACGAACGGGCACCGAACAGGTCGTCCAAAATCACGGAACAATTGCGAGAGGTTCAATACTCAGTTAAAATCGGCAACACTTTCAAAAATATGTAAACTTAATAATTTACTTTCAAAAATATATAACTTAAAAATATGAAAACCCCTGAAAACGATTGGTAATTCATCGATCCATAGATCACGCAAGCCGCCAAATCGATGCCAGCGAGATATAATCCACTGACAACATTGTGCCGTCGTGTGAGGGCAAAAACTACATCACAATACGAGAATAAAGGCATCGAAAGATCCTTTATGCCGCGTCCTTTGATCTTATGTCATATTTCTCTTTCTTCGCGTGATTATTAATTGTTATTGAATTGTATATGAATAAGTGCATGAGGGCAAATCAATAAGTTTTTAGAAAAACATAGTAAAATACA